GCTGCGGCGGCGAAGGGCAGCGGGGAGGAGCAGGAGGAGGGGGAGGAGGAGGCGGAGGAGGATGAGGAGGAGGATGAGGAGGAGGAGGAGGAGGAGGAGGAGGAGGCGGAGGCGGAGAAGGAGGAGGAGGAGGAGGCGGAGGAGGAGGAGCAGGAGGAGGAGGCGGAGGAGGAGGAGGAGGAGGCGGAGGAGGCGGAGGAGGAGGAGGAGGAGGCGGAGGAGGCGGAGGCGGACGAGGAGGACCAGTGTAAACCCAAGAGTCATCACCGATGTTGGAACGAACCCTCCCTCCAAGCTCCCTCTTCATAGGTCCCTACGACGGTTCATCTCCATAGAGGGAACTGCCTCGTTGGAAGACAACCGTTTGAATACCGTGAAGCAAGCCAGAACATTGTTCTCTGGATTTGCACGACACGGATCAACCTGACTGCTGCGTCCTGACGATCTGGAGTCGTGCCGGAACGTCATGACTTTTTCCAAAACATCATTTCTGGTGCGATGATGATGGGAATCCGTGAAACTCTTGCAACACTTTCAAAACGAATGTGCGCGGCGCTAAGGCGAGAGCCACATTTTGAAAACCACCCGCCCTCAATCTGGCAAGCTCTTGCAAATGTTTAAGACGAGTGTGCGCGGCGCTAAGGCGAGAGCCACATTTTGAAAACCACCCGCCCTCAATCCGTGAAGATCTTGCGCCAAATTTTAAGACGAGTGTACGCGGCGCCAGGGCTAGAACGACACTTTGAAAGCGACCCGCCCTCCATCTGTGGAACCCTTGCCAATTTTTAAGCTTCGGAGTCATAAGTGGTGAGGAAGTCTCATGCGAAACGCCCGGCCTGCCCTAACGACTGGCTTCGGGGTGCGACAGGGAGAAGTTATCTCTAAGGAGAAGGAATGGAGGAGGAGGGGGGGAGGAGGAGGAGGAGGAGGAGGAGGAAGAGGAGGAGGATGAGAAGGAGGAGGGCAGCGAAGAAAACGAAAAAGACGAATAAGGTGCAAAATGCGAATCTTTATGAGCAGTCAGAAAAAAAAACAGCAAACACACGAGTAATACGAACGATCTGAATAACACTACGGCGAAGACGACATATCATAAGACAGCGACTAGCAGTACCCAGTGTAACAAAGTATCAATAAGATGAATCGAATTATACCTATCTGCGATTATCTAAGACGACCCTAAAACAGCGATGTAGACATAGTAGCAATAAGACGAATCGATGTACAAGTATTACTATTACAACAGCAGCAGCAACACGTACTCTTACTACTACTACTACTACTACTAATGTACATAAGAACCGTAATAACAATGACACGAATAATTTTAGTACGTTTTTTTGTTAAAAAAACAACTCTCTCTACCAATAACATAGCACGATCATAAAACGTCATTTAGTCTTACTAAGACGACTAATCTTATGACTAACGCGAACACTTGGAGTATTCAAAAGAAGACTATTTCTAGTAAGGGTAGTACTTCAAACAACCTCCTAGTATTGCGAATCCGACCACTACTGCTAGTACTAATATTGCGCGTAATGATAATGCGGAGGAGAAGAAACTACACCAGGCACTAACACGAATACGATGAATACCAACACGTATACAAAGGACGCGAATAGTAATAGTAAACCCCCGTTCTCGGCATATGAATGATTCTCATGCGAATTGCACGAGTAATAATACGAATCGCACTGGTACGATAATTTGAATAGTGGCATTACTAAAGAGAAGACGAGCACGACTAGTACCACTTCTACGAAGCGTACGATTGACAATACGACGGGTATGAACACGAACGAACACTACTACTAGTGATGGACGTGCTACTACTACTGCTACGACCTACTATTACTACTATTGCCACTACAGCTACGCACGACTACTACTCCTACTAATACTAATGCGAACAAGCGTAGTACTAACACTACAACTTTTAACAGCAATACTACTTCTACTGTCACTTCTAGTAATACTGTTCGGACCAACCATTATATTAGTATTCAACCGGTTATTCGTGAGCGTCCGTATATTATTGCTAACAAGAGAACGATACTTAACAACCATAACACTCATAACGTTAAAACCAGTTAATTCGAACACGACGAATGAGGAGGAAACGAGGAGGATAAGACACATCGCACACATATTAGTGTCACTATTAATATTAAGAATCATACGAGCACTACTGATACTCAGATTATTATTACAACGACGAATACTGATACGAATGTTAATGTTACTGATACGACGAATAAGACTATTACTACGAATGGTACTAAGAATAAGAGGATGATGAGGAGGATGAAGAGGCGGAAGAGGATGACTGATAATACAAACGAGACGAATAATACACATACGAAGGCTATGAATAATAAGGCGAACGATAACCATACCAATCAGAAGACGAAGAGGATAATGAGGAGGAGGCGCAGGAGGAGGAGGATGAGGAGGAGGAGGAGGCGCAGGAGGAGGAGGAGGAGGAGGAGGAGGAGGAGGAGGAGGGGGAGGAGGAGGAGGAGGAGGAGGAGGAGGAGGAGAGGAGGATGGGGAGGGGGGGGAGGAGGAGGAGGAGGAGGGGGGAGGAGGGGGAGGAGGAGGAGGATGGAGGAGGCAGGGAGGAGAGGGATGCGGGAGGCGGAGGGGGAGGAGGCGGGAAGAGGAGGAAGAAGGAGGGAGGAGGGAGCAGGGAGGACGGACAAGGGAGGAGGAGGAGGGAGAGGGGACGAGGGAGGGAGCAGGAAGGCGGCAGGAGGGAGGCGGCAGGAGGGAGGAGGGAGGAGGGAGGCCACAGGATGGAGGAGGAGGATGAGGAGGGAGGATGGATGAGTGAGGAGGGAGGATGGGGGGAGGGAGGAGGGAGAAGGGAGGACGGGGGGATGGAGGAGGCAGGAGGGAGGAGGGGGGAGGGAGGAGGGAGGACGGAGGAAAGCTGCGGGAGGGGGGAGGTGGGAAGGGGGAGGAGGGTGGGATGATGGTGATTAGGAGGAGGAGGAGGATGAGGAGGAGGAGGAGGAAGAGGAGGAGGAGGAGGAGGAGGAGGGAGAGGGGGAGTGGGAGGAGGAGGAGGGGGAGTGGGAGGAGGAGGAGGAGGAGGAGGAGGAGGAGGAGGAGGAGGAGGAGGCGGCGGTGGAGGCGGCGGCGGAGGAGGAGGAGGAGGAGGAAGATGAGGAGGGGGAAGAAGAGGAATACGAACAGTAATGAGAACAACGGTATTGACAATCATAAGAAGATGAACGCTAATACGAAGAAAGCAAGAACACTACGAACAGTAAGACGGAACCTAAACATAAGACGGCGACGAGCAATTCTATTAACACGTAAAATATGAAGACGCATAAGACGACGAATGCGGTTAATCATAAAACTAAAAATGGTAATGCGACGAAACCCAACACGAACGATACTAATCATAGTAAGCAGAGTACGCATACGACGAATAACAACAATACACAGACGAATCGTGTTAATATTACTATCAAGATTAATCGTAGTAGTACTACTCAAACGAATACTCATAACATTCTTCAGAAGAAGAGCGCTGCAACTACTACGAATACTAAGGCTATTGAGCATACGACTATTACTACCAATAAGTATAGTAAGACGAATCCAAATACGTTTAATACTAGCATAAAGTATATACTAGTAAATATTATACTAGTAAGAGTAATAATAATAGTAATAGTAGGAACTATACTAGTAAGCATAACAGTGATATGAAGACGGATTCTGATATTACTACTGGGCAGAAGAATAATACAGCTACGCATAATACGGGTAAGCATCATCTAAAGACGAGGGTGAACAATGCTATTCGTACTAAGACGACTACTATAAAAAAGGCAAAACGTAAAACGACTACTCATGATACTAACACTAAGAATAGCACGACACATAATACTAAGACTCGACACATACTATTAAGACTAACGCGACTATTGAGAACACAAGGAACAGTAGTATTAATGATACTACGAACAAAATATTTGAGAGAGCGCGTTTCACAGGCGGTTGGCTTGGGAACATTCGGCGGCGCGTTTTGTACTGGGGGGTGGGCCCCCCCCAACACTCGGCGCCGTCGATCAAAACCAGTGGGACTTCCCTCCCCCACCCCCTCCCCTCCCGAACCTCCCCCTCCCCCAAGGTGGGGGGGGGTTCAACCCCCCCCCCCTCGGCGCAGGCGCCGGCGCCGGCGCTGGCGGTCGCCAGCAGCGCCGACGGCGGGGACGCAGCGACGATGACCAGAGGCAGCCCAAGGCGCCGGCACCGGCGCTGGCGGTGGCCAGCAGCGCCGGCGCTGGCGCCGGCGACGGTGGGGACGCAGCAACGATCACCACCACTGCCACCACCACCGCCACCACCGCTTCAACCCACCACCACCACCACCAACCCACCACCAACCCACCACACAACCACCACCAACCCACCACCAACCCACCACACAACCACCACTACCACCACCACAGCCACCACCACCACAACCACCACCACAACTCACCATCACCACCACCACCACAAAAACCCACCACCACTACCACCACCACCACAATGTACCACACCACTACCACCACCGCCACAACCACCACCACTACCAGCAGCACAACCCACCACCACCACCACCACCATTACAAACCACCAGACCACCACCACCACCACCACCACCGCTTCAAACCACCATTACCACACCAACCCACCACCAACCCACCACCAACCCACCACTCAGGCGCCACTACCACCACCACAGCCACCACCACCACGACCACCACCACCACAACTCACCATCACCACCACCACCACCACCACAAAAACCCACTACCACAATCTACCACGCCACCACCACCCCCGCCACAACCACCACCACTACCAGCAGCACAACCCACCACCACCACCACAAACCACCAGACCACCACCACCACCACCGCCACCACCACCACCAGCACCACCTCCATAAACCACCGCCACCACCATAACCCACCACCATTAACACCACAAAC